TACCATTAGTTTTGTTAGTATATTTTATTATTGTCTTTCTTGTTGTGAGCATTGTTGAAACCTTTTGTTGTTTGTTTATCAGAGGTTGTTTTATGTCGGTGAGAATGGCTTCGGCTAATTTCAGATGGGAATGGCTGGAATTAAAGTATGTTATTTTGGTGTTGTCCAGGATTTCTCTTGTAATTTCATTATTGTGTGTGTGTTCTAACTGTGTTTTTATAGAACCTTCCCTTTTGTGCATGATCAGACGTCTAGTTAGCGATGTTGTAGTTACTTCGATATATGAAACATTTTGACGTGCATAGCCGACAAGGGGACATGTAAATTCATATATCAAATGGCTACGTTTTAAAGATGAATCATGCTGAGAACTATCATCTTTGTTCATGAAAAGGTTTGATGTCATTGCATTTCTATAATAAATTCTTAGTTTTATTTTGTCAAAAGGGTTAGCTGGTTTGACATTTTTATAAATGATTTGTTTTAAGACGGATTCGTCCGCTTTGTTAGTTGGTGTTCATAGGATTCCTATAATAAAAGATGATTTCAGTGTTTGGATTATTATGTTATGGGCTGCTGAGTTGTAATTTATTTTTAATTATATCTTCCATCATTACTGTGCAGTATCCATTGTTTAACAAGAGGTTTATAACTCTTCAATTCTGCATCACGTTTTTTGGTTGATGATGAGGTGGCAAAGGCGCGGTTAACAAATACTCTTGTTATACTAATCTTAAATTGCTCAGTGCATTCACTTTTTTCATTAAGACAAATGCCTTCATTTATAGTTTTTACATAACCTTCAGTTTAAAAACTATGTTCATTGCGAGTGACTAGGACATCAAGAAAGGGTAGGAATTTATCATTCTCATGCTCAATGGTAAAATTTATTTTGGATTTGTTGAGAACAGTGAGTAGTTCATTAACTTTATTAGGATCTTTAAATGATATAATGATGTCATCATCGTATTTTGCATATATGTGAGGTTTGAGAAAAGTTATCTTGAAAAGTTGATTTTTCTAGATGATCAATATAGAAGTTGGCAAAATGAACACCTAGAGATGAGCCTATGGCAACTCCGTCTATCTGCTTGTATAGTTTTCCATTGGGGCTGTAGAACGGTCCCTCCGTGGTGCAAATTTGCAATAATGACTTTAACACGTGTTTAGGTATTTTTAATGGAGTTTGATTGGAGAGGTAAACGGTGTTGATTATTATGTCGATGGTTTCTTTGATGGGAACATTGCTAAACAATGATTCTACGTCAAGTGAAGCGATATGATTGGATGCTTGTTTGTGTTCAACAAACTTATGAATTCCTTGGATGTTTGTAGGTTTGTCATTACGGGTGTACGGAGTTAGGATTTTGTTGAGAGGTTTACCTATTGGTATAGGTAGCTGTCGAGATTTGACTTATAATTGGACGAAGAGGATAATATGGTTTTGTGGGTTTTAATGTTACCATAAAGGTATCCAGGGAAATATTCACCAACGAGTAAATTGATTTCCTCGTTAAGAATGTGTTTATTGATTTTTCGAATCAACCCGTTCAGTTTTTTCTTGAGTTCAGTTGTAGGATTTAATTTTATTTCTTTAAATTTAATAATGACGACAAGAATTAAACTATTATTTATTTACAAAAATATATATTAATAAATAACACAATCGCGATAGAATTTAATGAAAATTGTGTACGTAACGGCCTTATACCTAACAATTTAAAAAATTGGTGAACCAATCGCCGATATCGATTTTAATAAACTTTTATCTGATGAAATTCAAAATTAGAGTTAGTATTTCTAATCCAACCAAAGGAATTGCCTCAGCGATGTTTGAATGGACAAATTCAAATTTAAATGAAGTATGAAAATGATCTATAAGCAAGGCATTGAAAATATTGCTGCGCAATAACGAACACATCGAAAACTTCAAAACTTGAAGAAACATCAACCCGCTCAATCTTCAACCAACCTTGACCATTTTGTTAATTTAAGCAATTACATATCAAGTAAAAATGAAATTGACTTTTTAAATCTAGGAATTAACTACCATTTCATGAAAATACCTAATTATATAATTGTTTTCTACTACCCTTTGTTTCAAACTAGATATATAGATACTGTTACTAGTAAAGAAATAAAGGCAGTGATGTCAAAAAAATTTACAAACACGGCAGAAAAAGTGACGACTTACGTCCGATGTTGATTGAGTTCAGAGATAAAACAGTAAAAAATTTGTCAATGAAAATCTTTCTAAGATGAAACATTTGAATAATGAATTTAAAAATGTTAGCATCAGCCATGACTTCACAAAGGAACAACGAGAAAAATGTAAACGTTTAGCTGCAGAGGCAAGAGATGAGATAAACAGAGTCAGGATTCTGGAGAATTTGTGTACAGAGTGAGTGGAGATCCGTAAATTTCAGAATTATAAAAATTAAAAAAATTTAATGGTAAAATAAACTGCACTTGCCTTAATCATGATCCAGTAAATTTTATCAATAGTGTCAATAAAATCATTTTTTGCGCCAAATGTTGATGGTGTTCATGGATTGCTCAATGATGGTTTAGATGTACTGAGCTTACAAAAACATGGCATAAATGACCCGATGATATTTCTCTTAGTTTAGAAAAGCCTTGTGATTTTAGTTTTTTTGGAACATCATCACAAAAGGTTTTCAAATATTTCACGCACTCAAAACACTTCGCTCACACAGTTTTAAAGACATCAAATCAAATTATTCGACATCGCTGATTCACTCATCACATCGCAAATCAAATATGCAGCTTTACCCTGGCCTAATTTTGTTACACAACCACTTCAACAACTTAATCTCTCATCAAAAAACTAATTCACATCAACTCTCTACTTGTTTCATATCCTACCGTCACTCAAATATTCAACATACTCGATTCAAGACTGTTCAAGAAAGTATAAATTAACAACAACCACGTCATTCATCTTCTACTACCACCAATAAAAACTAAACTACTATACACAACCTTCGTCAACGTAAGAACAACTTTCAAGTCGTCACTTAATCAACATATCAGAATAAAACCTTACAAAATAGAACAACTGATCTTATACCAACACTCAATAAATATTTGTCATCGGTTGGACGGGAAATTTAACTATTAAGAAAAGAGCAGAGGCTGACTATGGTAGTGGTGCCAGTAACGACATGTCAGTGGTACAGGTAAACTTAGTGTCAGCGGGGTGAGCAAGTGCGCTAGTTGCAATGTTGGTAAACCAGATAATGTTAATAATAATAATCATAATAATGTGAATGTGAAGAAGCTGGATGTTGACAAGAAAGAAGATCATGATGAAGAAGATGTTAGTAATAGTCATATAATAGTAATAATAATGTACAATTCTATGAACCCTGTAAAGCCCCTAAGGGTTAGGGTAGAACCCTCAAGGGTTAGGGTGGAGCCTGTGATGCTGTAAAACTCAATTTTACAGTGTTTTATAGACTTTTACAATGTTTTACAGTGTTCTATCGAGTTTTGAAGAGTTTTATAAGGTTTAACAAATTTTACTTGAAATTATAATGTTTTTTAATATTTTGTTACCAGAATTATATCTTATTTTTAGATATCAGAATTTATAGCGTTCTTTTGTAAGTTTCTTAACATGCAACTTTGTCAATGGCTGATCGTCCTTTCGTACTTCCAGTTTTTTTTGTTTGAAACTGATTTATCTATTTTAAAAATGAATTTAATCTGTAATTTACCATTTTTTGAAAATCTTACCTGTACTACACTTTAATGATATCAAAAATAGTTGCTGAAAAGTTTGAGATATTGATGAAGAGAAAATTGTTTCTGAAGAGTTTGAAAGATAGTTGCTGAGTTTGCCATAGTCTCTAAAGTATTTGAAATATCAACGTGTCGAAGTGTTTGTAATTATTTCTGAAGAATTTAAAAGATAGTTTATGATAAGTTTAAGATATTGTTGAAGAGAAAATTGTTTCTGAAAAGTTTGAAAAATAGTTGAGATATTTTTTTTTTTAAGAGAAATTGGTTTCTGAAGAGTTCGAAAGATAGTCAATGAAAAGTTTGAGATGTTGCTGAGAAGAAAATTGTTTCTGAAAATTTCGAAAGATAGTTGCTGAGTTTGCCATAGTCTCTAAAGTATTTGGAATATCAACGTGTCGATATTCAGCCTCTGTGTCCATTTAAGGAAATTGATAAATTTAAAGCGTTGAACTGTAGAGCATGGCGTGATTTTTTTAGTGAACTACAATTAGTAAACACGTTTTAAATGATTGTCAAAAATTGTATACTTCCTACAAACTTAACAGCATTATGGCGTGATTTTTCGTTTCAAACCAATCAGCGTTAAAAAGAGGTCTTAAAATATGTATTCATAGTTTTTCATTATTTAATTAATGACTTGGCATATACGCTGATGAGAATGTATGGAAATAAGCCTATAAAGACTGAAAAGCTCTAGTTTTAGTCGTTTATGATTTTGTTTTAAGTTTAGTTTAAATTTAGTTTTTAATTTAATATTAATTCAATTTATTATAATAATTTAATAGTTAAATGTAATATAGAAACATTCGGTTGCGGTATTAAGTTGCGTTTGATAAGTTTTAAATTTAAGCTTTAATAGAGTCTTATGGAGTTTCATAAGGTTAGTGAAGTGTTTGAAAAGAAGTTGGAATTTTGTTTTGATGAGTCTGAAATATATTTATATATATAACATTGTTTCTCAAAAATTTAATAATTACAGTTGCTGACGAACAAACTAGCTATAACAAACTTGATAAATCCTATAGAACTCTGTATAACTCTATGAAACTCTATAAAATGTACAATTCTATGATATTTATTTACAGTTGCTAACGAGTCTGTCCTGGGTATGACATAAAACTGCATCCACGCTGCCTTGCGTGCTTTTGAGTGAAAAGCTAGGCCCACCGCTTATAACTGGTGGTTGTCGTCAGGATGGGTGTCCGGATGTAAAAACTTTTCCCCAAATTATTCCGATGCCATCACAAAGAAAAACAACGGCCCCTAGTCCCCAGCAGGCCTTAAGTGGTCAAGGGGTGCCAAGAATCCCTGGAAAGTATGCAATAGCGGAGGGATGTTGCAGAAAAATTCAGAATGGCCCCTCTATGGTACTTAGACTTGGAACGCTCAATGTTGGATCACTAACTGGCCGCAGCATGGAAATCGCAGAAATTCTCGAGCGCAGAAAGATTGACATCTGCTGCCTTCAGGAAACCCGATGGAAATCGAATGGTGTCTGTCATGTCAACTCAGACAAAGAAAAATATAAACTATTCTGGAATGGTCAAAAGACGGCCAAAAATGGTGTTGAAATTTTTGTCAGAGAACCGCTAGCCCAAGAAGTACTGGATATTAAAAGGATTAAGTGGATCAAGTGGATCAAGCTTCGCATAGAAAAGCAAACAATGATTATTTTTTCTGCATACGCACCACAGACAGGCGAATCAGAAGGGATGAAAAATGACTTCTGGACTCATTCTCTGACACCATCTCAACAATACCAAAATCTAAAACAATCCTGATTGTAGACGATCTAAATGGCCACGTTGGAGAGAAAACAGATTGTTTTAATAACGTACATGGCGGTTTTGGCTATGGAAAACGGAATGAAGATGGCAACCGCATCCTTGAGTTTGCTGAAAGTCACGGGTTTTGTTTACTGAACACATATTTTAGAAAGAGGTTGGAACATCTCATAACATACAAAAGTGGACCATCAGCCACGCAAATTGATTTCTTCGCTGTCAAGCAACCACACCGAAGGCTGTTCAAAAACGTCAAAGTTATACCTGGCGAATCATGTGTCGCCCAACATAGACTCCTTGTGGCAGACCTGGTTGCCGAACTGTCAAAACATAAGTCTGAACAAATTCCTCGGAAAATCAAAACGTGGAAGCTGAAAAGCAATATTCATCGAGAAAAATTTCAACAGATTGTCGCCACACAGTTAGACCACCAATCGCAAGCCAGTACAGATTGGAGTACATACAAAACCGATTTAATCAACGCTGCAACTACAGTTTGTGAGACAACTGGTACAAAACGTCAGCATGGTGGTGGAATGACAGTGTACAAAATGCAATAGCTAAAAAGAAAGTTGCATACAAGCAATGGCAAAAATCAAAGTCTGTAGATGACCATAAAATTTTCCGTGAGAAAAGCAACTATGCAAGACGTCAAGTTGCACTGGCACGGACAGATCAGTGCAAAGAGTGGCTCACTAAAAGCAAAGGTGAACAAATGAAATCTGTGTATTGTATTGCAAAACAAGCAAAGCATACGAAAAAAGACATAGTTGGTGCCTCGTGTATCAAAAACGACAAAAATGAGATGGTTCTTGAACAAGATGAGATCAAGCTACAGTGGAGAGAATACTTCAATCGTCTGTTAAACGAAACAATTCCTTGCAATGTTAACTTTGACGCTCCACCCATCTAAGGTCCGATTCCAAACATCACTGTAGAGGAGCTTACAGAAGCTCTGAAAGCTATGAAGGATGGAAAGGCCCTCTGAACTCACAAATGACATTATCAAAGCATCTGGTACTGCAGGTATCCAAACGTTACTACAACTTTGCCGTGAAATCTGGAGAAATTGCTCAATGCCGACTGAATGGAACTATAGCATGACAGTCCCGCTATACAAAGGCAAAGGTGATCCATTAAACTGTTCATCATATCGGGATATACGTCTGTTAGAACACTCCCTGAAAATTGTCGAAAAAATCATTGAGAGAAGATTAACGTCGTGCATCACAATCGGAAATTATCAATTTGTTTTTTTAGCGGGGAAATCAACAATTGATGCAATTCACATCCTTCGGCAACTGCAAGAGAAGTACCTTGCAAAGCATCAACAACTATCACACATTTTTGTAGACCTTGAAAAAGCATTTGATCGAGTTCCCTGTGGAGCAATCAGGCGGAGTCTACGTCGACAACTCATTCCAGAATATCTTGTTCGACTTGTGATGGAAATGTATACGAATACTAAGACTCTTGTCAGCACAACGGTTGGAAACACAGATGCATTTGACATCGGCGTTGGAATTCACCAAGGCTCGATTCTCAGTCCACTGTTATTTATAACTGTGATGGAAGAAATCACAAAACCGATACGCACTGGTGACATTTGGAATCTAATATATGCTGATGATATCGTTTTAACAGCCACGTCTGAGCAGAATGCAGCACAAATGTTTGAAGGTTGGAACACCAGACTCGTCGATCATGGATTCAAAGTCAACATCAGCAAAACCAAAGCAATGAACACTGGTGAACCCATCCAATCCACAGCTACTGGACGATGGCCCTGTTCAGTTTGTAAATCTGCTGTAGGTAACAATTCAATCAAGTGTCAGCAGTATAACCAGTGGTGTCACAAACGTTGTTCAAAAATAATTGATACTTTATCAAAAGTGTCCAATTTTGTTTGTCCTGCTTGCATCAATCCACAACAACAAATTCGAAATAGCACTGTTTTTGAAGCCATTAAAATAGAGAAAGTCACATCGTTTCAATATCTAAGGGATGTTCTGGATTGTACTGGAACAGCTGAAGCATACGTGCAGCCTGGAATAAATGGCATCTCCTTGCCTCTATAATGATGTGGCGTGACATCCCACTACCACTACGATCAAGACTTTATAAATCTGTGATACGTCCGGTGTTGTTATATGGTGTAGAAACATGGCCAATGACAACCAAACTGGAACAACAACTTCAACGAACCGACATGAAAATGCTCCTATGGATGCAACAAATTAGTCTGAAGGACCACATCAAATCTACCGAAATTCTGCGTCGTGCTGGTTTAGATGATATAAAGGACGAATGCCGGCAACACCGTCTGAGGTGGTTTGGTTATGTCAAACGAAGTGGAAACAGTGCCATAACTTTTCTTGCAGATGTTGAAGTACCTGGCACACGTCCCAAAGGCCGTCCAAAGAAGTCCTGGTCGCAAACAATTGAGCAAGACATGAAAGCTCTAAACTACAACTGATCGTCTAATTTGGCGCAAAAAGTTGATGGCAAAGAAAACAACGTCCTACCTCGGGAAACCGGGTCTCTGGACGCAAAACGAAAATTGATTTGATGTGAGTAAGAGAAGAAGAAACATTTTAGACAAAAAACTGCAAAGCTTTCAAAAAATTTGCAAGGCAGGCAATCAAGGTAGTGGCGGGAATGACGATGACGATGGAGATGATGGTAACGAAGACGGGAGCAAGAAGAAGAACATGGACAAGACTAAAAAAGATGCAGCTGGAGATGAAAAGTTGGGGAGAGGATGCAGGGTTAGGAAGAAAAAGTTCATGAAAGAGGAGGAGGCTGGCTGCCTCCCTCCTCAGTTCCGGGAAGAAGATGCCGAAACGACCACAATAAAATCTGACAAGAACGGCGAATCAATGCAAAAAAAAGGAGAAGACAGAAGTGACTAAAGATTAGAAGACGTATGCAGGGGTGAATATTCCCGCCAGAGAGTATTCAACATTTGGGGGAGAGGTATGTCACGGTGCGAGATTAGGTGCTATATGATTATTAGCCGGACAGAATGCGCTTCAGAAATGAGCGGGGCTATGTATGAGGCAGGTGCGCTGGAAAAAGGGGATTGTTGGCGAAGTTTGGTCAAGAAGCGAACGTCGGTGGAAAGTACTGTTTTATTACTGTAAATAATTATTATGGTAAAATTTAATTTCGAAATTCAAACAATACTTATCGTTATTTATTTATTTCGTTAATAACAATAGTTTCGTTATTTCAATTCCTGTCTGTAAAGAATTACGTTTGGATTTTTTGGTTTTTTTTTGGTATTAAAAGGATTCTGCCGTGAACTCAGTTACATAAAGCCATAATTATAGAAACCCAACTGCAAGCCCTAATGACGTGCTTATTATTTATTAGTAGCAATATAGTTAATAAAAGCAGTTTTGCGAAAAATTCTTGTTGAAAATAAATTTATTTACCCAGAATGCAGACTCTAAACAAAGTTTTATGAGTAGATATGGTTTTGTTTGATTCTAAAATCGCTGTGATGGAAATTTCCGAAATACGTTTTTATTATTTTGAGAAATTGTGCACCAACGATTTTGCTTAGAAAAACAAGACGTAAATTTGTGCAGCATACAGAGCGAAGGCAAGCCTACCAAGAACGGCGCGCTGTGCGATACACAAAGAAGTGTACAGCAGTGTCTTTATCAACAGCTGACGATACAGACTTTAATAATGGAAGAACGTGAAAAGTTAACTCAGTCAAAAATAATAGATTTGGATAATAATGATTATTGTAAAAATTATAATAATGATAATAATAATAATAAAAATAGTGAAAATGTAATAAAGATAATTTTATCATGTTTAAAAATAAAGAACGTTAAAAGTATGCTCCTTCTATAAAGCAAAATTCCTTCGTCCAAGATTGTTATTAGTTCCAATTAAAGCCAACACTCTTTTGTTACAATTTAAATCACTTGCTCTTTATATGTATATTGTAGAATATAATATAGAGCATCAGCAACCAAAGGCGGCGAGTTGTTCAAATTATTGGGGGGGCTTAAAAGTTACCGAAATTTTAATTTTTATTATTTTAATTCAAACTATAATTTAAACTTCTTCTTAATTTTTAATCAATTTAAAAGTCAAAAGTTTAAACAATATAATGTAAATAGTAAAATTCTATTTTTAAATATTCCGAACATTAAAAAATCTAGTTTAAATACAGTCATGTTGCAAACGTTTTTCTGGGCAAATCATTCCGAGAAGTAAATTCTTTGCATAAGTCCTCAATTGAATGATTGTGGTCGCGTTCTTTATAGCACTGTAGTATGACCAAATGGTTTAATCTTAGCTGACTGATTGTTGAACGTAAATAAGTTTTTAAGCGCCGAAGGACGGAAAACGATCTTTCTGAGCTGCATGTTGTCACAGAAATTGTAAGAAATATTCTGATAAGTCGAGAAAGTTCTTCTAGCGTTTCATTCAAACCGTGTTCGTTCGTATCTTATAAAACGTTGACAATGTCTGTGACTGAGGTAATTGATAAATTTCGTTGCTTACAAATATCGCGAAACATGTCGAAAAGTAAATGTAATCTGTCTTTTGACACCTCTGGATATAATTTAGAAATATAATTTAAGTGACTGCCGTCAATTGTAGCTGCATGTAAAATTTTTGATTCCAAACCGGCAAGTTTTTTGAAACCATCAGAATTGAATCTAGCGTCAAGTGAAGAGATAGCGGCACCTACGATCTCTAAATACATTTTTTTTTAATAATTGCGAAATGTCAAATACACGAACGTTTTCGTTACCATCAGTAAAACGCTTCGGACAATTTCGCTGCCGTGGCAAACTTGGATCTTCAATATTTATTATTTTTGCATCATTAGTTGTATTTAACCAAAAAGACGAAAAGGCTTCATCGGATCGGATCTGTTGAAGCGATGGCATTAGACCTTATACGAGTTTGTGTACTTTTGACATAGACACTTAGACAGTGTCGGACACTGAAAAGCTTTTGATTTAGTTTCCAATTTATCGTATATGAGAACCAAACAGCGCAACACAAAATAATTATAAAATAATGTCATTTTTGTGAGAAAACCAGCACATTTGGCGCCATTATTCATTTCTGACAGAACTTTGATTTTAAAAAAAGTTTAGCAAAGATGTCTAGTTGTTTAACGCGCTGTTGATGCTTCATGTACGCATAGTCCACCTTGTTGGACATATGAACGCAATGATGTAATTGTAGCATTACTTTGTTGAAAAAAGGAAAAACAAGCTAAACGTTTAGGAGATTTTTTGATAAACGTTACAAGTTCATTTACAAAATGGATTGCATCTCTGCACTCTAACATCATAGAAATTGCATCTTGAAATGCCAAACTAATATTGTGGTTGTTGCAATGGACAAATATTGCAGACGGCAATATTGCTAAGACTTTGACCTGTACTCCATTATGAATTCCAGAAACGTCTAACGTTGTCCGTCGTCCTCGGCGATTTCTGATATCAAAATTAAACCTTAGTAAAACATCCTTCAAAATTTTGAACAATGTACCAGCATCTGTGGCGTCCGTGTTATAAAATCCTAGGAAATATTCTTCCGAAATAAATTCATTATCAACAACTCTTAAGCAAATGCTGAATTGTTCTTTAATTGCAATGTCACAAGTTTCGTCTAAAACAATGGCATAATACTTTCTCAAATGAATATTACTTATAAAAGATCTGAGAACGCTGTGCGACATAATTTCCATTAATTCATTTTGAGTATCTTTTGAAGTCCATTGATATTATGTTTGTTCAAGCCATTGCTGTAATTCAGGACTATCTTCTGCACGCAAACGTAAAAAACAGTGAAAATTCGAATCATCGTCGTCATGAGAGAGCGTATAGCGATATTTTGAACAGATAGACATTTTTTAAATTTATTTTTAAATATTGAGGGGGCTCAAGATAATCTTAAGCCAGAAGGGTTAAAAATTAGAAGGGCTCGAGCCCGAAAGCCCGTACAAGTAGTTATGCACAACACGTTAATAAATTTATAAACACAAATTTTTGATAATATGTTAATGTATGGTAATTTAAAAGTAATTAGAATAAAATTAAGAGAGTCACATCAGTCAGATTCTATTAGAATTTTATTAGATTATTAGAATCTTTTGAATAAAAATTTAAGTTAAATAAAAAACATTACATTAAACAAAAAAACATTAAAAAACACCACGCAAAAATAGCACATCAAAAGAATTAAAGGTACGAAACTTTACCTAAACATCACAATCTTAAAAGATTGAATCAAAACGCAATCATTACAATAAATTGCAGCTTGTTCATTTTGAAGTTTAGAGATTCTTTAAAGTAGTATTCACATAATACGACTGAAATTTTGAAAAATTAACTGGTACATTTAATATTAGGTTTATCCGATGTATCATAAAAATATAGACAATCAATCTTTGTTTAGCGTCCAGCAACCCAGTTCGTTGACATTGTTCTCCCAGACGTTGTTCTCTTTGCTATCAATTTTTTGCGCCAAATTAGACGATCAGTTGTATCCATTTCATTTAAATTTAGAGCTTTCATGTCTTGCTCGATTGTTTGCGACCAGGACTTTGTTGGATGGCCTTTGGGACGTGTGCCAGGTACTTCAACATCTGCAAGAGAAGCTATGGTACTGTTTCCACTTCGTTTGACATGACCAAACCACCGCAAACGGTGTTGCCGGCATTCGTCCTTTATATCATCTAAACCAGCACGACGCAGGATTTCGGTAGATTTGATGTGGTCCTTCAGACTAATTCGTTGCATCAATCTGAGCATTTTTATGTCGGTTCGTTGAAGTTGTTGCTCCAGTTTGGTTGTCATTGGCCATGTTTCTGTACCATATAACAACACCGGACGTATCACAGATTTATAAAGCCTTGATCGTAGTGGTAGTGAGTGTTAAGTTTTATGTTTTATATTAAAACATTATGATTTATAATATACTTTTATTTTTCTTTGGACCAAATGTTCTTTGCTTTGTATGTAACTTCACTTTTTCCTTTTCTGTTGATCTGGTGGATAATAAACAAGTCGAGAACGTTGCTTAGTTTATTTCTCTTCTTTTAATGTCTTTCAATATTATATCAATTAATTAAACGATCTACGTGACTAGAAATTTAACAGATTATGGGACCCAGATAACGTTTTTCTTAATTAATTGATTTGACGAAGAAAATTTAGAATAAAGAAATATCGGAAGATTCCTTTGTGAAGACTGAAGTGAAGAGAATGCACGTGCTTCTTCATTCTCTGAAATTCGATATTTTGCTTCTAATTAAAAGGTCAAATTGAAAGACAAGGAAGAAATGGATCTAACAAAAGTGCAAATCAAACACCTAGAAGGCAAACGTAATTGGTTGAACTGGAAGTCGAGAGTTTGTACAATACTACGCGGCATTTCTGATGCAATGGACGTAGTAAATGGCAAATTAAAAGTTTCAGATGAATTAAACGATGACTCAAATAAAGATGAGATAGCAAAATATCAAACTGCTTTGAACAGATTCAATAAAGCAGATTGTAGTGTTATGATTATTCTGTCAACCAACATGACCGATGAAACGTATGAAAAAGTTCGTTCATTCAGTAATGCCAGAGATGTTTGGTTAGAACTTCACAGATTATATGAGGAAGTTAATGAAGATAAAGCATACAACTTATGCATGAAGTTCTTTAGTTATAAAATGGGATGAAAGCGATGATGTTGTCACTCATGTTACAAAACTCAAGAATCTTTGGAAAGATTTGAAGGTTGAGTTAAGAAAAGATGAAAACAGTGACTTGTTGCTGGTGTGTCAGATAATTGAAACTCTGCCAAAAAAAAATGGTTTTAAGAAATTGTGAAAAATGGTATTCTGATGGTAGACCAGCAAAACCAAGAAATAACAATC